AGTGGAAGGGTGACTGTTTCACCAGGTCAGGAAGGATACAGGGGTTGAGGGCTTCCTGGTGGTAGAGTGTGGGGGAAGGGAGACCCCTGTGCTAACAGTATAAGAGGGGAAGTCCTGTACAGTGGTTAAGGACACAGAAGCTAAGCCAGATCATCTCAGCTTGAATCCTGGTTCTGCCACTTTCTATCTTGTAAACTTAGCAACTTCCCCAAACTTCAGTTTCCCCATCTATAAAATAACAATGATAACATTATCTCCTTCCTGATGTTGTTGTCAGAGCTAAGCCAGGCTTTAGCACAGTTTCTGGCAATAAATGCTATTATCATTTTGAATAGAGAACCACGTGTGGACATAGATTTCCCTATCTGAAGGGGTATGTTGTGGTCCAGACTCTGACCCAGGAGCTCAGCTGACAGTGGCCAAAGTGTCTCCCTGCCCAACCCCAGTGAGAACTTTAAGAGGGAAAGTTAGAGGTGGGGCCCTGCTTTTCAGGGCCTTTCCAGCTGGGTGATTCCCTTTGAGCTCTGGGGCAGGGGTGACAGGGAGGCCACCAGCCTCTGAGGGCCCATTGTTCTTCTCCTCTGAATTGAGAAAGATATATTCTCCCCACCCTCCTCTTGGCACCCAAATCTGCATGCTTAGGAGCAGATCTTAGATAAACAAACCCTGCCCTCTTGCCTTGTCCAGTGCTTTACAATAGTTATGTGATGTCCAGCCCTCCAACTTTATTGTCCCCAGTTCACAGATGAGGAAATTGAGGCCCAGAGAGAGGAAGTGGCTTATTTTATGTCTCATATAGAAAGGTGACATTGCCAGTACTAGGTCTCAGTCACAGACAGCATTCTAGCACAGACTCTTGGGAACACCAGACACACAACCATACACCAGCATATAGACAGACAAACTCACTGATACAGTGTACAGCCTTTGGGGGACGATAGAAGCAGAGAGTCAGGCAGTGATGGTTGTTTTTTGTTTTGTTTTTCTCCCTAGATGAGCTTCACATCCCAGGTAACTGAAGCAGAAGTCCTTGGCTCATCTTGTCTTCTTTCCAGACAGGTGCCTGCTGCCTCAACAGGGGCTAGGACAGTCCATCCTCTTCCACAGCTGTAACATCTGCTTAGCCCATTAGGTTTTGAGGGAGAATGAAGAAGGAAGAAAGGTGCACTCCCTACCTAGTAGATATCGGGAGAGTATGACTCAAGACCAAAGTGCTGTTCACATGATAGAGTTCTCCCTGTGGTTTTCTGAAGTCAAGGGTGACCCACTGTCCAAGTTTTCCTGGGTTCCTGGGATGCAAGACTTTCAACTTTAAAACATGCAAAGTCAGACAGACTGGGATGAGTTGGTTACCTGAGTCTTCCACAGGTCCAGTCAGAAAATGGGGCTCACTCAGCAAGGATATTATAGGCTGTGGCCAGGAGGGAAAAGAAGGGTCAAGGTAGACACATGGTGAACCACATAGTGGCTGGCATTATGCATCATGGTCTTGGGCAGCGCCTCATTTGAATCTGAGTCCTTCCTACCCAAGTCAGATATGCTGGAGTCAACCCTTTCTTTCTTCACAAAGATGCCCAGAGACCTGGTACCATGGGTCACTTCCTGTTCCCAGCTCTTCTGTCAGCCAAGGAGAGTTCAGGGGCCCAATAGGCCCACCCCCTTCCCCAGTCTCTGAGGCCAAAGCATAAGCATAGCCCATGCAATGGAGCCATCCTCTCAAGCCCCCAAATCCCTCTGTTCCCAGTAGAGATAGGAGAAACCTGAACTAAACTACCTTTCTCACTTTGTTTTATGGAAGAAGAATATGTGACTGATGTTTAATACCAGGGTCACAGGACACAAAGTCATGTAGGCATATATTAGCTGTGTGAACTCTGGTAAAGTTTGTGAACCTCAGTTTCTTTATCCTGAAAATGGTGATAATGGCCAAATGTGGTGGCATAACCTGTAATACCAACAATTTTAGAGGCTGAGGCAGGAGAATTGCCAAGTTAAAGGCCAGCCCAGGCAATTTAGTGAGACCCTATCTCAAAACAAAAAGGACTGGGGATGTAGCTCAGTGGCAGAGTGCTTGCCTAGCATGTGCAAGGCCCTGGGTTTGATACCCAGCAATACACACACGCACACACATAAATACATGGATACTTAACCCATCTTGTAAGATTATATTAAGGATCCAGTGAGCCACTGCTCAATGGATATTTGCTGTCAAGGTTGTTGGACTTGTCAAATGTATGAAATATGTCAAGAGCTTTGTAATGTTTTGAACAACTAATTAAAAAAATAAAACCTTCTAGGGAAAAAAAAAAAAAAAAGGTTGTTGGACTTGGGAGGAGGGATCTGTCCTGGGTCCAGATCTCACTGAGGTTTTCTTCTTTCTTCAGGTCACCAGCTCAGTCCAGGTACCAGCTGACACCCAGTCCCCAGTATTGCTTTCAGGAATGGCAAGATGGGAAATGGTTGGAGAAAGGGATCCTGGGGCAGAGGAAGAGAATAGAATGGCCAAATTTTGAGATGAGAAGACATAAGTGGATGGAAAGGAGGTCCCAGTTGCTGGAAAATGAGCAGTTCTCAGCCTGGCTCAAGGCCAGGATAATTTGGGCTGTCCCAGTGTCAGGGAAGCAAATGTGGGGCAATGAAGACATTCTGCCTAGGTCCAATCCCAAATCATGTGCCATTTATGATCAGTAGAATGATCCAGCTTCTCTTCAACCAGGTCTGTACAAATGCCCTGCAGTCTATTTCCTTTCTCCTCCCAGTCAATTATTGGGGCATCCAGAACCTTTCAGTTCTTCTTCTCAGAAGCTTTCCTGGGTCAGCACTTTGAAGCTGTGGAGTTGGAACAAAGTGATCCTGAGCCTGGAGACCTCTTCCTGTTTAGGCTGCAGTCCCCAACTGGACGCTGGTGTGGGGCCCATGTGGGTGTATATTGTGGCCACAAAGAAATCATCCACTTTGAGGGTGAGTGTCTTCAGCTGAAATTAAGGCTCAAATGTGCAAAGAGAGATTGCCCAGCCAAGCACACCCCACCAGTGGGTGGGCTACATGGTGATGCAGGCTGTGGTCCTGGGCAGGGGGTGTGGTTCTCTGAAGATAGGGGATTGGGAAGCCAGCATATGGGTACCAGGGCTTCCAGATCCAAAGAAATACAGGTATGGAGCTGCTAAGTATAGCACCTAAGATGATTCTGATGTGTACCTGGCCCGTGATCCCCACAGGCAAGATACCTGGCAATTGTGGGCCACATAAGTTTCTGGGCTCCTGGGAAGGAGTTGTATGCAAACAGGGACAGGGCCCAATGCTGCGCTCCCGGTCCCTCTGGCGTGTGCTTCGTCGACGAGGTGGCATTAACCGCACATTGCTGGAGCTCCGAGTACGCGAAGCTATGGATACAGATCCACCTCCCTATCATCCCACACGCAACAACTGTGTGCACTTTGCACTGCACCTGCTCGGCTTGGACAGAAACCCCAACTCAGTAAGCACAGCCCAGCTACTCATGCAGAATCCCACCCCAATAGGGCCTGCTAACAGCCTTATCAACTGCTCCTGCAAAGTTCAGGCCCTCTCCTCTCAATTCCACTGAGGCCTCATTCCTCCAAACTCAAGATCTGCTTTAGTCTGGCAGGTCCAAAGCCCCCAGAACCAAATAGGCCTAGGCTATTTGGTGAACTTCCAGGTTCTTTGAAACCCTTTTGTGCCCATTCCAAGTAGGCCCCAGGCCTCAACTCACAGATCCTGGCCATATGTATTTACTTCAGCCTACCAACCTCCAAGTCAGGTCCAGCTTCCATCCTAGTCCTGGTCAAGCCCCCATTATTCCCATTCACGCAATACTGAGCCAAGCTCCAACTTTCTAAGCCCCATTCATTTCCAACCAGGTCCACCAGTTCTGGCCTTGGAGACTTCAGGACCCTAGTGCACAGATCAAGACTTAGCTCTTAGGAACTCTCCCACTCTCCAAGTCCAGCCAAGAGACTCCAGTCTCCCAACCTGATGCTCATCTAGATCCAATCCCTTTCCCCAGCCTGGTTCACTATTTTTCCTCTGACTAGACCCTCCTTGCTTGGCCCTTGGGGGTGTTTCAGGCCTTGGGAACTAGAGGCATCACTTCCAGGAGTACTGGCAGATCCTGATCTGATCTCTTCCATTTTCCTTTCTTCTTAGGCATCGGTGGACCTGAAGCTAAGCATGGGCTAGGTATGACCTTGTGCCCTCCTGGGTGGCCAGAGGGGGCTTCAGAAAGGATCATTAAAGTACTTTCCAAAGCTTATTTAGGGAGTTCATTGTCCTCTCTGGTTTGTCTCCCTCCTGTCTGCCAGAAGCCCAGTAAGAGTTCCTCGGTGCTTGCCCATAAATTCCACCTCTTCCAGGAAGCTATTCAGATTCCCACTTAAAAGGCAGAACGACATCAGAGGAGCCTAGATTTTCTAGAAAAGATAGGACAGGAAAGGAAGCATCCTTAGGTCGCTGTGGCTGGTCTTCTGTGTGGTGCTTCCTTCTCCCCTAGGCCTGGGAACGTAGCCTTCCTTTCAACCCATTTCCCCACCCTCCACTTCAGGAGCGTGTGGAACCCTCTAGAGGTCTTTCCACTCAGGTCGGATGATCAGGGATGGGTACAGACGTTGTGCACCCCTTGCCACAGCCACACCTGTCCCCAGACGTGGAGTGCTTCAGGTCCCTTTAAAGGGCCGGAACCAGCCTTGGGGCGGGGGAGATTTCCGCGAGATTGGGGCGGGGCAGACATTGCAGCCCCTCCCCACCCGCCCCGAGCCGACACGCCCTGAGATCCGCGGCCGCTGGTGCCTTTAAGAACCTCCAAGCGCGGCGGTGAGGGATAAATCCGAGCGCAGCCTCCACCGTTGCAGTTTGCAGTTTTGCGGAGCTGGGCTTGCGCCGCGGATCCCTCCTAGGTCCTACGCCCGGTTCCTGGGCCTCCGCCGGACTTCGGCCGCGCGGCCTCCTCTCTGGCGAAGCCTTTTCCCCGCCCCCCCCCCCCCATGTCGACCGCCCCTGCATACAGTGAAGACAAGGGCGGCTCCGCTGGCCCTGGAGAGCCCGAGTACGGCCACGACCCGGCGAGCGGCGGCATCTTCTCCTCCGACTACAAGCGGTGAGGGAGCTGGCCGCGAGGGCCGGGACTTGGCGGATGTCGTGGGCACCATGGACAGCGCCCGGGCCCGCCCGCTGGGGCCGAGCCGACCGGAAGCCCGCCCAGCCCCCTCTCGCGGCGGCCCGGGGCCCCAGAGCCGCCACTCAATCCCTAGGGACCCACCTGGACCCGGATCCGGGGTGGGAGTGTAGGCTGATGGGGGATGGGCCAACCAGCTCGGTTTCGGGAGGACCACCTGTCCTGTTCAGTCCTAGGTGTCTCCTGGTTTCAGCTCAGATTTATAGGCGCCCAGTCTTTTTCGCGTAGGGCTGATTGGCTTAAAAAAAAAGTGGGGGAGGGGTCTGAGCCTGTGAACTTGAGTGTGAGCCTGGGGCCTCTCCAGGAAGGTGGGCCTTGGATGTAGACGCAGAAATTCTCAGGCATGGCTCCTCCTACAAATTCATTTTCTCTCGTTCTGGCTCCCATCTGCAGTCAGGCATCTGGCACACACACCTTTGCTGCCCACATTGCCCTTACAGTTCAATTCTACCTTAACTTCCTCCCACCTTTGACTCGTTTGTTCATTTGTTTATGTGTAAATTCTGCAACAAGCATTTATTAAAGGCCTACCATGTAGAGTCCCATGCTAGTCACTGAATACAGATGTGAACACAGAGAAAGTCCTTTTCCTCAAGTTGCTCCAGAGGGAGCACAGATGAAGCAGTCTGTGACAATTCAGTATAAAGAGGGCTGTGGTGTGAGCATGGAGGTGAACACCTGTAATCCCAGCAATTCGGGAGGCTGAGGCAGGAGGATCACAAGTTGGAGGACAGCCTGGGCAATTTAGCAAGAAAATGTCTCATTAAAAAATAAAAAGGGGGGCTGTGGATGTAGTTCAGTTGGTAGAGTGCTTGCCTTGCATGCACAAGGCCCTGAGTTCAATCCCCAACCCTACCAAAAGTAAGTAAGTAAATAAATAAATAAATAGGGCTGGACAAGTAGCTCAGTGGTAAAACATTCCTGGGTTTGGTCCCCAGTACTGCAAAAAAGTGGGGAGCCATAGGAGAAAGTGGAGAGCCAAGAGTGAAAGGTTGAAGAATTAAGTCAATCCAGGTTATAAATTTTGTATGTTCTAGTACCGTGTGACCAGAAATGAGGGTAGGAAGGACCATTGAAGGGTTCTAAGAAACTATCACCATCAGGTTTGTATTTTCAAAGGCTCACAGGATGGACTGTGGAGAAGAGATTAGAGGGTTTGTTGAACCAAGCAAGAAATAAGTAATGGGGATGTTGAAGTTGACAGGCAGTTCACATTAGTGGTCTAGAGCAGAAGGACAGAGAATTTAAGGACTGTGAAGAAGAGCAGACCTGACTCGATGATTGGATTTGGGAAATAGGGGTAAGAGGAAGTGGCTGGGAAAAGTTAAGGATGATACTCTGGTTACTAGTTCTTACAGCCAAATAGATGGTAGCAGGATTCAGTGTAATTAAAAATAAAGATGATGTTACAAACGAATTTGTGGAAGTGTTGAGCCCAACTTTGAACATGATAAGACTGAATGTAGACTTTGAGTGGTATTCAAATGTAGTAGTTCAAATGTAGTAGGATTTGTATCCTAGGAGAGAGATGAGGACATTGTTAACATATATGTTAATTAAGGCCATAGGAGGCAGTGAAAGTAATCAGGGAAAGGGTCTAAATTCAGATCAGGCATAAGTCTGAACTCAAAGACACTAATGTTAAGGCAAATAGAGAGCTAGGGGAATGTTTCAAGGCACCTGAGAAGAAGTGAACCAAAGGGCAGGAAGAAAATAAAATGCAATTTCAAGAAAGAGAAAGTGAACAGTAGTGTCTATGCCCTTTAGGACCAAGTCAAACAAGATAAGAAATTTGAGACTATTGGTTCACAAAGAGGTCAACTCCTTCCCATTCCACTCCCTACCTCCTGCCCTGTGAGACCAGTTCTGGCAAAGTGAAGACAACAGGAGCCAGATTATTTGTCCCCAACATTCTATTATGAATTATTTTAAACAGAAAATTTATAATATATATATATATTCATTGCTTTATTCATATATATATATATATATATCCCATCTAGAATCAAACATCCTTGATAACTTGCTTGCTTTATCTAGCCATCTCTCCATGTCTATTTTGGGTTGAATGGTGTAAGTTGCAGAGATCATGACCCTTCATGACATATATATTCTAAATCAACATCTAAAGCCAGGTTAAAGTGAATAAAGGAACAAATAGGAGGTGAATAAATAATATACAATGGGAATTTTGCTTTTAAGTAGTTTTTAAGGAAAAAGAAAAAGAGTTGGCTGCAGGAGATTATCAGTTCATGGATTTTTTTGGCAGTTATTTTTGTTTGTTTATTATTAGGAAAAAAAAATTGAGTGCTGATAAGGAGCCAGTAGCAAGAGAAAGACTGAAGGGAATGAAGTAGCCTCATCCTTGATAGGAATGAACTAGCTTGAGTGCAAGGAGGATCAGCTCTGCCCATAGGGAGAAGAGAGAACATATTGTAGATGCAGAAGTGTGTGAGCCTGGGGTGGGGAGCTGTAGGGGGTTTCTTCTAAAGACTTTCATTCTGGGAGAGGCAGATAGTATAGCTTTGAGAGAAAGGGCAAGGCTGAGGGCTGGGACTTGATGGTCCTAGGGGTTTAAAATATGGTGAATAAAGCAGGGTGGGGCAGTGGAGGGCAGTGGGACAGGAGGACCAAGGACAAGAGTGAGAGAGAACAGATGGAGAGAGGGACCCTGGAGCCTGGGAGGGAAGAAGCAGAGATCAATCAGAGAAGGCTAGTGGGAAGGAAGACCTCAAGATACTGGCTCTGGAAAGGCAGTGAAGATCAAGAGGCTTGGGGGAAGCATGAAAGGGGGACATACATGCAAGATTTCTGGGGGTAAGCAGTTCTTAGGGACCTGAGGTCCAGTTGGGCTGTGGGATTGGAGGTGAAGAGGGCATTCCTTGCCTCTGCCTGTATCAGAGGGGAGTTCCCTGCCCAGAGATTGGGGTAGACTTTGTCCACAGGCCCTGCCCTTCTGTCCCTTCTGAGATCTCATCTCTGAGTAGGGAAGAGGAAACCAGAACCTCCCTCCTGGCCAGTGTCAGGTTACTTTGGGGCCGGCCTCCTGGTGACTGTGACAGAAAGCCCCAGCTCACTGACCAGCTCAGTCCTATCCTGGAGCAGGACCTGATGCCCAATGCAGCGATTCCTGCAGCTCCCAGGGGCCAGAGGGACCTGTGGGGCAGATCAGGAGGCTTCTAGCCCTGTGCTGGCCCCTGAAGGTGGGCCCCCACCCTGGTACCAGGCCCTGCAGCCTGAGGAACTTCGGTGGCTTCAAGCCCCAGAGGAAGACACAACTCTGGAAGCATCCCCTGAAGGATCTAGCCCAGAGGCCAGCCAAGGCCAGAGCCAGCCATTAAGGTAAAGAGGGACCCCCTAGAGCCCCTAAAACTGGACATCCAGGAAGTCTAGGTAGCCATCACACAGCCCAGCTTCTTCTGGACTGGCATTTAGGGTCCAGGCTCAGGGGCTGGGTGTTGGGTGGCAGCCCAAAGGGAATATATGGGTTGAGAGTATGAGTATGTTGTGGGGATAAGGAGCTTAACTCCCTGGAGGCTCTAAGGGAAGGAGGACAGTAAAATATTTAGGGTCAGTGTCCCACCTTGACTGTTTTTTCTCCCTGCAGACCTTGGTTGGACTGGGCTCTGTTTGGCCAGCTCCTGACTGGTTAGTAGAATGGGACATGGATGATGGGGGCAGGATAAATCACAGACTGTTTGGCCAGCTCCTGCCTGGTTAGTAGACTGGGACATGGATGATGAGGGAAGGCAGATGTACTGGCCTCAAACATCATGTCTGACCTCCCTGGCTGGCTCCAGCCACTCCAGGAGAGTCTCTCAGGTCAGGCCAGGCCAGATCAGACCAGGGGTCAAGACAGAGTGAGTACAGTGTAAGGGGATCTGACTGTGGGAGATGAATGTTTCATGGCTTTGGAGTGTTGCTATGTTCCCTTCCTTTGCCTCTTGGGAACATCCGCTGGTAGAAGCAAGAGGGAGGGACCCAGGGCTACCTCACCCCAGGAGGGTGCTGCTGTTTTGAGTCAGTGGGCATTTGATGCCCACTGACCTGCTATCTGCTTTACAGCCAGTGACCACTCCCTTCCCTCAGCTCCCTTCTCCCTCAGGGGCCTGGAATGTGTGCAGGAGGTTGGGTGGGGGTGTTGCCCTTGGGTGTGTGCATTTGACAGGGGTCTGTGGCATTTGTTGGTATGAGCAAGTGTGAAGAAGTCAGCTTTAGGAAATGCCCAGAATTAAAGGAGACTGGGCAACTCCTACACCTCCCAAAGAAGGCAAATGAAGAGTCACCCCAGGGTGAGTCCTCAGAAAAAGTCAGAGCAGCCCTGAGGCTAGATGTATTTGATCCTCAAAGCCTAAATTTTTCATTTAAAAAAATCTCAAAAAAGGGCTGGGGTTGTGGCTCAGTGGTAGAGCGCTTGCCTAGCATGTGTGAGGTACTGGGTTCGGTTCTCAGCACCACATATAAATAAATAAAATAAAGGTCTACTGACAAATAAAAATATTTAAAAAAATTCAAAAAGGGGTCCACTGGCCATTTTAATGAATGAGATGGGAATGGCTAACTTTTGTCAAAGTTAAATTTTTATTAGGTGTGACCTAATGGCATGTGTGACTGCAGGATGTATTATGGGATGAGTATATCTGTGTGGGATATGTAGGTCCCTATGAGGATATGGTAGAGAGATCTTGTTGTAGGGGGATCTATGGGGATGGTAATATGTATTTGTGGGTGCATAGGTATGGGGGTTATGGGTGAGGAGTGTTTCTGAGGGAGGTGTTTATGTTGGGTGTGTTTCTCTGGGAGCTATAGATGTGTGTCAGCAGGGGTTGTATGTATATGTGTTTATGTATGGATTGTTTATGTATCTGGGTGTGTGTGGGTCTATCTAGGGGGTATAAGTATTCCATGATGGGGGATATGGG